GCGGCGGCGGTACAGCGGCCGGTGCGCGTCTGGTGCGACGGATGGTGAGTGGGGCGGGCGGCGGGAATAAACCGTGTTGGCTGCCATGGTGCCTCCGGTTCTCCTCTGTCAGCGCCGCGCGGGGGGGGAAGGAGGGGGACGATAACTGCGGGACTTGACCGCTCCGCCGCCGGGAGAGGCTTCGGAGCGGGCTCACGGTGCTCCGGTTCCGACCCCGAGCGGTCGGGGGTGCAGCGGGACCCGGTGCGGGGGGGGGACCCGCACCCGGCAGCGAGATCCCCGGTTGGGTCGGGTTATGGCGGCGTGAGGGAACGGCCGCCTCCCCGCCGGCCCGACGAGGGGACAGTCGCTGTCTGACAGCCCCGGGACGGTCTCCCCCTCAGCGCTACCCCCGGGGGGAAGGTCACCTCCTGCCGCTGCCCCGGTGTCCCCGCACTGAGCGGCCCGTTGTCTTTCTAGCTATGACATGGTGCACTATGGCCACTCCAACCAGCTGCGCCAGGCTCGGGCCATGGGGGATTATCTGATTGTTGGAGTCCACACGGATGGTAAGAGGTTTTCTCGGCTTTTCACCTCCCGCTGACTCTAGAATCGCCGGCCGGGTTAGATCCGGAGAGAAGGGAGATGTCCCAATGGAAAGGCCAGGTTGGATGGGGGCTTGGAGCAACCTGGTGGTGGTGGCAGGTGTCCCTGCCCAGGGCAGGGGGGTTGGAACTGGATGATCTTTAAGGTCCCTTCCAAGTCTAACCACTCTAGGATTCTATGAAAGCAGGCTTCTCCCTGCATCTCCTCAGGGAGCAGCAGCCTCCAAAAGGAAGGTGTCTTCCCTGGCTGAAGGAACGGAGTTGCCTCTTTGGTGCTCCCCGGGGTGAAGTGGTTCAGAGCTTGCAGGCTGCCTTTGAGGGGGGATAGGATGAGGGGTAATGGCTTCAGATTGAAAGAGGGGAGATTTAGATTAGATACTAGAAGGAAATTCTTTCTGTGCGAGTGGTGAGACCCTGGAACAGGTTGCCCAGAGAAGCTGTGGCTGCCCCATCCCTGGAGGGGTTCAAGGCCAGGTTGAACAGGGCTCTGAGCAACCTGCTCTGGTGGAAGGTGTCCCTGCCCAGGGCAGGGGGGTTGGAACTGGATGATCTTTAAGGTCCCTTCCAACTCTAACCATTCTGTGATCTGTGTTCTGTGCTGTAAAAACAACTGAACCAGTTGAAAAATCAGTCTGGTTTGCAGGTGCAAACTGTCCCAGGAGACCCCTGTGGTCCCCCCAGTAGGAAGCATCTGGGTACAGGGGGGCACGGGGACATTTTACCTTCTGAGTGAATTCCAGGGCCTTTGTTACGCACTTAGGAAATGCAACTGAATTAAAATATTTCCTGATCTAGCTGGGGCTTCCTTCTCTACCACAAGCCATTCCTGACTGAGTTTAGGCCCACAGTGACATTCACCCACCCATGAAATGAGTGTGGCTCCCGTAGGTGGGCATCTTCATAGCTGTAGTACACGCTTCTGACTGGGTTTCTGTTTCTCACCCAGAGGAGATCGCCAAGCACAAGGGCCCCCCTGTCTTTACGCAGGAGGAGAGGTACAAAATGGTGCAAGCCATCAAGTGGGTGGATGAGATTGCTCCAGGAGCTCCCTATGTCACCACGCTGGAAACCCTGGACAAGTATAACTGTGACTTCTGTGTGCACGGTGGTGAGTGGTATTTGGAGGCGATAGTTGTGTTAACATAGACGCCCTCCGGGGCTTGTGTGCTCTTCGTTTCCTTCCTGCAAACTGAGGAATGTTCTGGCCATCGGCAGATCCCTGGTGTACAGAGGTCTGTGCTGGGCAGTATGGCCACTCCTGGCATTCTGGGGAAATATGTCTGTGTGCCAGGCACCCTAAGAGTGACCAGATCCCCTGGTTTTAAGCATTCCCTTCACTTATGAAGGTGAAATGCGTTGCCTGACAATTATCCTGAGGTTGCCCTTAGCACAAGCAGAAATTTGTGCATAGGGAAAAGTCATTTCCCAAACTTAAATGTGAAAAACACTGTTAAAAAGGTAAGTGTGCGGAAATACAATCGTGTTTATATCTGCTTATCCTGGGATGAGATCAGATCTGGAAAGCTTCTCTCTTTATCCAGCTGATAAGCTGTTCAAGGGCTTAGCTGACCGTGTGGTCAGAGTCCTAGTTCTTACCAGGAACACTTTTCAGTTTACAGTCACTGGAGAGAACCAGTGTTCTGAGGAAACATTCTTGCTCTTGTACTCTGTCCCTTCCCGGCACTGCTTCTCGTGTTCGTTCAGCCTTGTCCCCTCCTCCCTGTCCCTCTGAAGGTATTTTGCTTCTTTAATCAGGGGTAATCTTTGCACCCATTTCACATATCATTCCTCCTATGATCCCAGCCACCTGCCATCGGTGAGCCAAGTATCTAATTAAACGTGAAGAAATCATTAATCTTCTATGAGGTAGATATGCTTTTTCACGTGGACAGGGTGATTATCGAATTCCTTGTCAACTTAATTGCCTGCCCCGAACGTGGTGTGTTTGGGGCACGTGACCCTTTACTGGACTTTGTGAGGGATTATGACAACAGAGATGTGCTTGTGGCCTTTGCTCCAGTTTCCCTGCCTTTATCCCCTCTGCCACATCACTCGGTGCTTCTCCCTGAGCAATACCCTGTGCGCTGCGGCTTTGCCAGGCTGCTTTTATGCAAAAGAGAATAAGTTTTGAAATAGCTGCGCTGAGCTGGGAAGGTGTCAGGGAGCAAACCCCCTCTCCCCCCTGCAGCGTGTTCTCTTCTGCCCCTGTGCCCTCAGGTGAGGGTGGTGTGAGAACTCGTCATCCTGCCACCCAACTGTGTGACAAAGAGCACTGTGAGCTGGCAGTTCTGCCAGGTGAAACCCAGCTTAGGTTTCCACTTGTGAAGATTTTATGCTATCGGTAAAAGTAGGTGAGAGGTGTTTTTTTGTCGATAAGAGTTAGGAACCATGCCAAAGAGGAACCGGAATTAACTCTGTTGAAAGGTGGCCTGATGTCACTGTAGAAGTGCCATCAGGAAGAGCTGGCTGATGGAGGACTGCTTAATTGACTGAAAAAGTTGTAACATGAACCAATGGCTAAAACTAGTCCTAGCGAAGTTAAGGTGCTTTTTAATACTGAGACAACCAACAGTAGCTGTTTATTGTCATTCAGGCAATAATTCAGTCGTGCCTGCAGCTGGATTCACCCCAAGGGCAGCCAGCTCAGATTTTCTGGACTATCTAAAAAACATGGGACCCCCTGGTTAATGGTGTTTAGCATCCAGGAATGTGCTCGTCTCCACAGAGCTTGCAAACCCCTGACGTGTCCATGGGATGCAGGATGGATCCCGCATGCCTGCCCAGGGATTCGGGCTGCAGGAGTTCTGGGCTGGGTTATGTGCTGGACCTGCTCAGCTATGGCTGTTGACACCAGCTTTTGGGCAGGAAGGCTTGGGGTGCACTTCTGAAGCTTTTCTCTCCCTGCAGATGACATCACCTTAACGGTAGATGGCAAGGACACCTACGAGGAAGTGAAGACCGCGGGGCGATACAGGTAACCCGTTGATATTTACTTTCTTACCCTGTTTTGGGTAGAGTTTCTGAGGGTTTATGCCCTGAAGGGAAATCAGGTGAAACACAGCTCTCTTCAGGTCACACTTTAATTTTGCCATGATGTGTGTTAGAACTTCAGTTGCTCCCGCTGTTTTGGCTTCTGGGAAGTGTCACAGACTAGCCACTGACCGGCTGGGGCTTCCTGATCCCAGCAAATACTTGTTCTGGTCCTGGAGCCTCACTGGGAGTGAGCTCTGTTCAGGGTAAGTTTTCCTCATGCGAGCTGTTGCTGTGGTGTGAAGGAGATGCAGAGGCTCACAAATGAACACTGTATCACGAGCAGGTAGAAGGAAGACTCTCAGGATGGTCCCTGGTTTGGATTTATCAGGCGTCTCGGGTGTTTCTGCGGTAACGGTGGGAAGAGGAGAGTCATTTGCTCCTGTGGCTTCTGCTTCACCCTTTGCTTGTCTCCCTGCAGGGAATGCAAACGCACCCAAGGTGTGTCCACTACCGACCTCGTCGGCCGCATGCTGCTCATGACTAAGGCTCACCACAGCAACATAGTGAGTCAGGGGGCTTTGGGTGGGAGTCTGGAGTGCAGGGCGTACGGCCAGCTCTGTCCTTTTGCTGCCCCAAGTGGCAGTAGAGCTGCTGGGTTCTGGCTCCTGGGCGCACCGAGAACTGGCAAGCGGATTATGGGCAGTGGCAGCAAAACAACCTGCTTATGTTTGCTTAAGCCTGTCTGGGATCACAGTGTGATCTCAGCCCGTGCTGCTTTGGAAAGGTGGGGAGGGGGGATAAAAGCTTTGATCCCTCCTGACTGGTGTGGGCTTCGGGAATGTTATGGGAACTACAGGCTCACCTGTGGCTCCTCTGAGGGTAAAACTACGTGGTGCAGCCACGTTGGTCTACCAGCCCAGTGCTGCCAGAGTTGGAAAGTCCTCTTCCTTCCCGCTGAGCTGCCTGCTTCTGCCTTCTGCTGTCTCTAGTCTTATCAGACCTTTCTTGAGTCTCCTTGGCTCACTACCTGGTAGATCGCTAACCTGACCAAAGGAAAATAAAGGCAGTGGTTTTATGTTGGTTAATGAGTTGAATTGACTTGGTAAACAGGCAACCCAGTGAATGGAATCCCCTGTATAACAACAGGGGCAAGACGAGGGACACATGAGAGAATTTGGGAGCAGAGGAAGATCTTTTAGTGAGCTGAGCTGTTAGATTGGCTCAGCCGTGCTGTGTGAGTTCTGGCACAGTGCTACTGTCCAACTGCAGAGAGCGGCACCCGTCTCTAGTGGAGTGTCCTTGGGAGAGGATGGACACTGTGCTGTTGGGGTCTGCTTAGTGGAGGCAGGATGTAGGTGTGCAACGCCGTCAGGTTGGGCAGGAGGCACTGTCACCATGTTCCAGGCTGGGATCAGATAAGGACGTTTCATCTGACTCATGCTGGGACACGGCTCTGGTTTAGATATTAACTGGTTTGTCGGCGTTCAGTGCCAGGGATCAATGGTGTGGAGTCTGGGCTTGGACTTCCCTGCACTTCTGCCCCACACGAGCATGTTCTTGGTTGGATGAGCTGTGTGAGTGCTTAAACATTTTGACTCTTTATCTCCCTTCAGGATGAGGACCTAGACTATCGGAAGCACACTGACAACTTTGGGAAGGTAATGTGTGTTGTGGTCGTGGACGTCTGGTTGTTGTCCTGTCTGAGAAGGCTTCCCAATGTGCTTTCTGGCCTGTGTTGCAGGATTGGTTTTTTTTTACCCCGCATTTAGTAGTAACCTCAGTAAATGTCTGCTGCCCTGTAGAGTGTCTGCCATAGTCAGTGAGACAGGCAGGTGTGGCCGCACGGGGCCGTGTCCGCGCCGCCAAAGAGCTGCTGCCAGTTGAGCCTTTGCTGGTTTTCTGGCTTGCTTGTAAATTCTTTATCGCCGATTCCTTTGGGACCCAGGTGCCCGCATGCAGTTCCAGCCCAGGGACAGCCTCTGTGGATGCTCCTTTGGGTGCTCATGTTTTTAAAGGTGGTGCGTTAGCTCTGGGAAGCGTTTAAGATGCAGATGTGTAGTACCATGCTGTGCTGCAGAATTCACGTGCCTGGTTTTCAGGTACCAGAGTGCTGCTCTTGGGACTCCCTGCCATCATGCCCAGTTCATGTCTGTGGTAACCTTGAAAGAGGTTTTTTTTCCTGGGTGTTGGATTGTCCCTGACTAACAAGCACCAGGACCTACATCTTTTAATTGGCTCAGCTGTGCTGTGTGAGTTCACACTGAGATCTGGCACAGTGCTACTGTCCGACTGCAGAGAGTGGCGCCCGTCTCTAGCAGAGTGTCCTTGGGAGAGCATGGACACTGTGCTGTTGGGGTCTGCTTAGTGGAGGCAGGATGTAGGTGTGCAACGCCGTCAGGTTGGGCAGGAGGCACTGTCACCATGTTCCAGGCTGGGATCAGATAAGGACGTTTCATCTGACTCATGCTGGGACACGGCTCTGGTTTAGATATTAACTGGTTTGTCGGCGTTCAGTGCCAGGGATCAATGGTGTGGAGTCTGGGCTTGGACTTCCCTGCACTTCTGCCCCACACGAGCATGTTCTTGGTTGGATGAGCTGTGTGAGTGCTTAAACATTTTGACTCTTTATCTCCCTTCAGGATGAGGACCTAGACTATCGGAAGCACACTGACAACTTTGGGAAGGTAATGTGTGTTGTGGTCGTGGACGTCTGGTTGTTGTCCTGTCTGAGAAGGCTTCCCAATGTGCTTTCTGGCCTGTGTTGCAGGATTGGTTTTTTTTTACCCCGCATTTAGTAGTAACCTCAGTAAATGTCTGCTGCCCTGTAGAGTGTCTGCCATAGTCAGTGAGACAGGCAGGTGTGGCCGCAAGGGGCCGTGTCCGCGCCGCCAAAGAGCTGCTGCCAGTTGAGCCTTTGCTGGTTTTCTGGCTTGCTTGTAAATTCTTTATCGCCGATTCCTTTGGGACCCAGGTGCCCGCATGCAGTTCCAGCCCAGGGACAGCCTCTGTGGATGCTCCTTTGGGTGCTCATGTTTTTAAAGGTGGTGCGTTAGCTCTGGGAAGCGTTTAAGATGCAGATGTGTAGTACCATGCTGTGCTGCAGAATTCACGTGCCTGGTTTTCAGGTACCAGAGTGCTGCTCTTGGGACTCCCTGCCATCATGCCCAGTTCATGTCTGTGGTAACCTTGAAAGAGGTTTTTTTTCCTGGGTGTTGGATTGTCCCTGACTAACAAGCACCAGGACCTACATCTTTTTTTTCACTCACAGGGGGTTTGCTGACCAGGCTGAATCACCCTCTTTGTTCTCCACCACGTTGGGGTTTTTTTTTGAGCAGGCTTTACGGGCCCTGTCCTTCCAGCATGGCTGTGTCCTGGTGCCTGGATCTGGGAGTGTGTCTGGGCACCAGGTCCCCGCATGACCCCCTTCTGCATGCTGCTGTGGAATGGCTGAGTTGACCCCGTTCTTCCAAGTCCTGTGGAGCTTCTGGCAGCAGGAGCCGGAGCGGGTGACTCGGTGGCTGTTTCCCAAAACTGCCACGCGGCGGGGATAAAGCTCCGTCTTCGTTTTCACCGGCGCTGGACTCTGTAGCTCCCAGCCTGGTGACCTCGCCAGGGGAACGGGTAGCCTTTGAGCTTGCCAAGAGCCTGGGTAGGCTGTGTGTTGTCTCCATGAGTAAGCCTTGCCTGTCCTGCAAATCCCAGCCTGCCCTGTTGCCTTCCTCCTTCCTGAGCTTTCCTCTCGGCATCTCCTTAGCTGGCTGTTGAGGGGGCGATTTAGACTGCGCTCAATGGAGTGAAAAGGGATTTTGTGATACTGCGTAAATACTTGGTGCCAGGAATGTCGAAGGCCCAAGCTGCTGAGAGCCGTGACACTTGCTGGCAAATGAAGGCTGGCACATTACCTGCAGCTGCGTCCTGTGTGTTGTCCAAAGCCTCTCTAGGAGCCTGAAATGTGGGGTGTGTGTTTTCCCAGGGGCCAAAAGGCCACAGTCCCTGGACTGGCGTCTCACAGTTCCTACAGACATCTCAGAAGATCATCCAGTTTGCATCAGGGAAGGAGCCACAGCCAGGAGACACTATCATCTATGTGGCCGGAGCCTTCGACCTGTTCCGTATCCTTGACTCTGCTTCATCAAGAAAACAGCGTTGGTGGTTTTGTCCAATGTTTTCATGGTTTGAGGCACCAGTCTAGGATATTTACCTCTTTTTTTTTTTTTTTTTTTTGTTTCCCCCCTTTCTTTTTTTTTTTTTTTGTTTCCCCCCTTTCTTTTTTTTTTTTTTTGTTTCCCCCCTTTCTTTTTTTTTTTTTTTGTTTCCCCCCTTTCTTTTTTTTTTTTTTTGTTTCCCCCCTTTCTTTTTTTTTTTTTTTGTTTCCCCCCTTTCTTTTTTTTTTTTTTTGTTTCCCCCCTTTCTTTTTTTTTTTTTTTGTTTCCCCCCTTTCTTTTTTTTTTTTTTTGTTTCCCCCCTTTCTTTTTTTTTTTTTTTGTTTCCCCCCTTTCTTTTTTTTTTTTTTTGTTTCCCCCCTTTCTTTTTTTTTTTTTTTGTTTCCCCCCTTTCTTTTTTTTTTTTTTTGTTTCCCCCCTTTCTTTTTTTTTTTTTTTGTTTCCCCCCTTTCTTTTTTTTTTTTTTTGTTTCCCCCCTTTCTTTTTTTTTTTTTTTTTCTTTGTTTTCCCCCCTTCCTTTCTGTAGGTGTGCATGTGAAGGAGGAGGCAGGAGTTCTTACTGGCAGTTTCTTAGTCAAAGGACACTGAGAAAGGAGCTACGGCTCCTCTCTAGAGAAATTTGTGGCTGTTGGAGGGTTTCAGGACGACAGCTGGACACCTTCCACTCTCTGATGGTCGCACTGTGGTCCCCCTGAGAACTGGCTCTTGCAGACCAAGTGACTGCACAGGGCATCTAGAGCAAACGCCTCACCCCTGGGATGGTCTGTGAGGTGTTGTGCCAGAACACCTAAAACAGATAGAGATTCTGGACAGAGGAAAGTTGAGTCCACGTGAAGTGGAGCTGAGAAAGTGTCTGGCTTTTGCTCAGAACCTGTGGAGCCTGAGGAGGGAGGAGGCAACTGTTCTTAGGACATACACAACAAGTAATGCAAAAAATAAAATCCTTGGGATTCCTGTCTCCCACTGTGGTTTTTCAGTGCATCTGTTTCTGTCTTCCTTTCCCAATTTTCCATGTCAGCTTCAGTTCCTTAAATGGGTCTGCAGATATTGGGCATGTTGATTTCCTGGAGAAGGTTCACCAGCTGGCAGAGAAACCCTACATCATTGCTGGGCTGCACTTTGATCAGGTCTGTATGTAACATCCAAAGCCAGGGCAGCTCGTCCCCTGTTTTTTCTGAAACACGCAGGCTGTGCTCTGGAAGACGGGGATGTGTTGGCCAATATGGGATTTTTGTGTTGGGAGACAATGAGAGGGAAAGGGGGTTGCTTTGTCTCTCTTTTAATTGTGCCTGGTGCTTTGCCTTAGGAAGTAAATCGCTACAAAGGGAAGAACTATCCCATCATGAACATCCATGAGAGAACACTCAGCGTCTTGGCCTGCAGGGTAAGTGCTGGTAGGGTGGGTGTCTCTGCACTGCTCCAGAAATCAACTGGGGCCGGGTAGTGGTCACCTGCAGCCAGCTCCTGTATGAGTTCTTGGTGTGTGCTGAGAAGGCAAAAACAAGACTGATCCCTTCAGGCTGCTGGAGGGGTTTCGTGCTCTCGGAAGGAATCACTGGGCCCCTCTGTTCTGGTGAATGCCAGCTGTGGAACCCCTCCACCTCCATGGTGGATGCCTTGTAGAGTGCTTCTCTGCTCTGCAGCGGTGTTCTTGTAGAAACCCTGCTCCCTGCAGCAGGGGAGAAAATTCCTGGGAAAGAAGTGTGGGGAAGCATGTGCCCTGAGCAATTAACTTTTGGATTTGCTATATATGCAGTACCAGAAAACAAAAAATTCTTTAGTGGAACGAGAAGATCCCGTGTTAGAAGGAGTGGCTGCTAAACCCACTTCCCTGTTCCCTTTGAGCTCCTACTCTGTAATTGGATGACCTACTCAAATCTGTTTAGGTAGCAGGCTGGCCTCTGTTTTGGTGGGTTTGTTGGTTTTTTTTTTCCTTTCAAATATGGACTCTTCACCTGGTTTATTTTCTAGTACGTCTCAGAAGTGGTGATTGGAGCCCCCTATGCTGTCACTGCTGATCTGCTGGATCACTTCAAGGTGAGAGTCCTTACATATCGGTGTACATGAAGATGTTGGGGTATGATGTGCTTGGGGAGCTGAAGGTGGTGCAGGAAAGCACAGGGGTGTAGAAGAGGGGTGATCCTGCAGAGCAGGATTACGGTGGGCTCTGAAGGACTGCCAGACCTGGTAGAGGAGGGGGACTTTGCTGATCTCCAGGCTGCAGGGAAGGTCCCTGTCATCTTTCGGGTCTTGTCAATGACTTTGTGTCCTTTCTCCAGGTAACACTTGTGTGTCATGGGATGACTGAGGTGGTGCCAGACAAGGACGGTTCTGATCCATACGAGGTAAGCTACAGGCTGCTATTGTTTGGGTTTCTTTGTCAGCGTTTGATAGATACGGTGTGGATTTGTTCATGTTCCTGAGCTGACAATTCATCTTGCAGAGGGTGCTCCCCAGGCAAGTCCTTGGCAGGTGATGCTGTTTTTCATCCATCCCTGAGGGCAGGTGCTTGGAGCAGAGCCTGTAAATCATTCACAGCAGCTCCGTTCTCTTATTCACTGTTTCGTTTTGTCTGTTTCTGATGCCTTCATGGCAGAATGAGAAATCCTGTAATCTTTCCTCTGTGCCAGACCTGGGCAGCTTCCCTATAGGTGAAGCTTTGCTTTCAGCAGTGATTTATTCTGCCCCCTTGGAGATAATTTTGTGTTGTGCCTGGCTGGGTGCCCACAGGACCTCCCATGACTTCTGCTCGCCTTTCGCTCCCGAGCTGTGAACCCAGAGGTCCTGCCTGTTTTTCCGTGGCTGAGTCTGGGTGTTTGTTCACAGGAACCCAAGAGACGCGGCATTTTCCAGCTGGTGGACAGTGGCAGCAATCTCACCACAGATTTAATTGTGCAAAGAATCATCAAGAACAGGTTGGCTTTCTTCATCTTCCAGTTCTTTCTCATGCTGTTCTGTCCAGCTTGTGTGAGGACTAATTACTGGGATCAAATGGGAAGAGAAGGGCTTATCTTAAGGCACAGAATCAGTGAAATGGTCCTTCATCTTCCACAGCTTGGGCAGGCTGCTTAAATGTGGATATACTGGACTGTGCAGGAAAAGGAATAGCTGAACTCTGCTATGTTCTGAATGTGCTTCACAGCACGTTTTGTTATTTTTCCTCCTCCTCTATTAATGATAGAATTTCCTTGCTGTGCTGAATGTGCTTCTCAGCACATGTTGTTATTTTTCCTCCTCCCCCTCTATTAATGATAGAATTTCCTTGCTGTGTTCTTGGGGATTTAGCATGTTCCTTCTTTCAGGGTTTGCTCTTTTAGGCCTGAGCCCTTCACTTCCAGTGACCTTGGCTCAGGTCAGTGGTAAATTTGATTTCGGTATCACGGCACTAAGTGGTCTGTCCCAGGACAGACCAAGTGTGGAAGAGCAGCATCTTCCCCAGAGGGAGAAATAAGTCGTGTTTGGCCAGTGTGGGAGCCTGGAGCTGCGGGGTGATGGCAGTGGTTGTGGTGAGCTCTAAGAGCTGGCTCTGAGAAGAGTCTAGGGGGTTCCTGGTGAGGTTTCTGCAGTACTCTCGGAACAAAGCAGCGTAGAAGAAGGCAGTGCTCCCCCGCTCCAGGTGCTTTTTGTCTGCTACAAATATGGATGGATGAGAATCTCATGGCATTTTGTGGTTGATGCAGGCTGGAGTTTGAAGCCAGGAACCAGAAGAAGGAAGCAAAAGAGCTGGCAGTGTTGGAGGCCATGAAGAGACTGGAGGAGGAGAAGCACTAGGTCGGCAGAGAGCTGACGTGTGGGTCACTGAGCGCCACAGCCTCACCCTCCTGGGGAGCAGAGAGCCCTTCCAGAGGGGACCCCGCAATGGGGACACCGCTGCCGGCGTGTAGGATGTGCTATCCTACCCTCTTCTGTCCTAGCTCCTCCTGCACTAATTATGCAGACATAACGAGTCAGGATCCTGCTGCCTAGCTTTTCCTCCGTTAATCAGCCTCCGTCCCCTTTCCCAGAAGGAGATTTGACAAACGAAAAACAAAACGAAACGGTTTTAATCATAACTATGTTTTAACATGTTGATGTGCTTTTACCTTCTGCCATTTCTGGCTTTTAGTAGGGGGGGAAATGGAGCAGCCCCCCAGGCCCCCTCTGCTCCTCCAGGTCCGTCTGTCCTGACGGAGTCTGTGTCCCAGAGTGGCCTGTCGGGTGGTGAGGGGGGGTGGCTGGACAGACGGACGAGAGTGGCCTCCCCAGGGAAGGGATGTGGCACCTGTGGTTCCTTCTGCCAGCCCTGGGTTTAGGGACACTGGGCCATCACTGTGTGGCTGCAGGAGGTGCCCACGGGCCTCTGTGTGAGAACTGGGTTGAGCTGGATCAATCTTCTCTCCGCTCTGGTGCCGGTGAATCGTTTGTGGCGGCTGCTGTGAGGGGCAGGTGGCCCAGGGACCCTCGGTTCCGCCATTTCCCTGGTGGGTTTGAGGGATTTTGGGGCACGCTGGGGGCTTTACCCTTTGTGAGGCAGCAGGACCCGGTGCTGCGTATAGACCCTGCTCGGAGCCCTCGTGCTGCTGCTGCCGGTGCCCACCTCACGCCCAGGGGGTCTCCCAAAGGAGGGAGTGAAGTGTCGGGGCTGTTGTGCGAGGGCTGGGGCGCGCAGCATGTGTGGCCCCACAGGAGATGTGGGGCTGAGGGGGACGGGTGCTGGGCTGAGCCCCTTTCTCTGCCTCCAACATTCCAGGGTGCTGTGGTGGCTGTCGCTCCCCGCGCTCTGCGGGACGTTCCTTCCGCGCCGGTCCTGTTCTCTCTGTTGTAAACTTCTGTTGCTGATCATTAATAAAACGTTGACAAGTGCTGTGTTGGTCTCTTTGGGGATGGAACAGGGGTGGCAGAAAGGGGACAGTCCCTGCCTGGAGATTTCTCCTGCAGCAGCTCCTCCCGGGGTCTCTGGTGGGAGTCGGGAAGAAGCCGCTGTGGCCCAAGAACAAGCCCCGTTGCCCTCAGGCACTGGGACACGTTGGGTTTCTTCTGGTGCAGGGGTAAGGGGTCCCTCTGGCTGGAGGCAGCCATTTGTTTTCCCTCTGGGAGGAGGTTTGTGCTGAATTCACTAGAAAATTCAACTAGACTGTGTGAGGGGGCCCAGTCTTTGCTGTTTTCTGGGGTTTTATGCTTTCTGGACTCTAGAATTGCAGCAGAATTTGCACTGGGAAGGGAAGGTGAGCGTCCCAGCATTTCGGTGGGCTTGTAGCCGTGGTGCGTATGGAGGGAGGAGGTGACCTGGTGAGTGGCGATGCCAAAGCAGCATCTGCAAGAGCTGTGGTGGGGACGGATCACCCGCTGAGCTTGGGGTCTCACAGCTGCGTAGCTGCAAATCCCAGAGCCTGCGTTTGCATATTGGCATTTCAGTAATGAATGTGTCATCTGTGACAGGAGCTGAGACACCCACCTGCGTTTTCTTCTGCAGCAGCTCCTCCCGGGGTCTCTGGTGGGAGTTGGGAAGAAGCCGCTGTGGCCCAAGAACAAGCCTGTTGCTCTCGGGCACTGGGACATGTTGGGTTTGTTCTGGTGCAGGGGTAAGGGGTCCCTCTGGCTGGAGGCAGCCATTTGTTTTCCCTCTGGGAGGAGGATTTTGCTGAATTCACTAGAAAATTGAACTAGACTGTGTGAGGAGGCCCGGTCTTTCCCGTTTTCTGGGGTTTTATGCTTTCTGGACTCTAGAATTGCAGCAGAATTTGCACTGGGAAGGGAAGGTGAGTGCCCCAGCATTTCGGTGGGCTCGTAGCCGTGGTGGCTATGGAGGGAGGAGGTGACCTGGTGAGTGGCGATGCCAAAGCAGCATCTGCAAGAGCTGTGGTGGGGACGGATCACCCGCTGAGCTTGGGGTCTCACAGCTGCGTAGCTGCAAATCCCAGAGCCTGCGTTTGCATATTGGCATTTCAGTAATGAGTGTGTCATCCGTGACAAGAGCTGAGACACCCACCTGCGTGGGAATGCTCCCGCCAAGCCCCGGGAGGAGGGAACAGAGAACCTGGAGCCCCTCAGGTGCCTGCAGCAGGAATGGCATCCCATCCCTGCGCTGCATTGAGCATGGATGGTGTCCTGAGTGTGTCCCTCACCCTGGGCTGCTCCCCGCTCTCCCTTCCAGCCTCAAGGCCACTGACAGGAGGGCAAGGAAGGGCCAGCTGGTCCTCGCTGCTCCCAGCCTTGGTGGCCGCACTCCATGTCATGCTCTCCTGTCCCCGGGGCAGGAATGGCATCCCATCCCTGCGCTGCATTGAGCATGGATGGTGTCCTGAGTGTGTCCCTCACCCTGGGCTGCTCCCCGCTCTCCCTTCCAGCCTCAAGGCCACTGACAGGAGGGCAAGGAAGGGCCAGCTGGTCCTCGCTGCTCCCAGCCTTGGTGGCCGCACTCCATGTCATGCTCTCCTGTCCCCGGGGGTCTGCAGGGAGATCTGCAGCTGGAGGAAAGGAAAGGGCAGCCCTGGGGGTGTGGGAGTGATCCCAAACGCCTGCCACTCTCTTCAGTGAGAAGGAACGGGGCTGCGTAGAGAAGAGTGTGACCAATAGGTCAAGGGAGGTCATTCTCCCCCTGAGGAAAGGGCAGTCCTGGGGGGGTCCTGGTCTCCAGCCGGGACCAGGGCTTTTCCCCTCTGGAGCGAAGGCAGCAGCTGCTGTCGGGGATTCACTCCTGAAGGAAGGGGCTGTTCTGTGGGCTGTGCCCTGGCTCCCTGGTCAGCTACACCCCAGCAGAAATCATGGTGAGTCCATGCTGGCCGAGGGTCTCACAGGCTGTGCCCAAGCTCCCTGTTGAGCTACACCCCAGCAGAAATCACAGTGAGTCCATGCTGGCTGAGGGTCTCAGCGCTCTGAGGGTCTGTGGGATCGGTCCTCATCCCACTGTAGTTGGGGGGTGGGAGTGGGGTGAATCCTGGCTGGCAGGAGGGTGGCTCGGGCCAGCACTTTCCCTGCTGTGGGTGCAGGGAGAGCACCGTGGGGCACAGGGACCCCCTTTGTGCGGCCCCCAGGTCCCTCTGTGCCCCCCTAAAACCCCACTGCACGTCAGCGCTGCCGCCCGGAGCAGGTAAAGTTGCTCCTCGCCCCCGAAGCAGCCGTGACACTGAGCTGTCACCCCCTTCCTGGACACCCCCATCCCTGCTACCGAGTGCTCAGACCCCTCTGCAGCCTGCGGGCCCCCCCCTCCCACAGAGACTGCAGAAGAGTCTGTCATGAAAAACAAACAACCGAGCGGGTGGTGACGCATCTACCCCGGGCTGAGCATTTGCATGTAAATGAGCTGCCTCTGGGACCCAAACAGGTACCGTTGTTATTAAAAAAAATGACAAAAGTACTTTATTTCTGCTCTCGTCAGGCACGGGTGCTCGCCTGCTGGTACCACTTATTTGCGTGGAAACGTCAGCTCCGCTTGCTCAGCCGGAGCGCGGTGGAGCTGCTGCTCCTCGGGGCCTTGGAGAGCTGTCTTGGAATTCACTCTGAAAACTTCTGCGTAAGATATTCTGTTCTCCAAGTGCCTCTGGGCCCATCTTCTAAGCATCTGTTTACTGACAACCCGCAAGTCCCTCGGGGCAAATGTGAGCGTGGAGTTAAAATTCGGGGGGGGTGGAATATGGCATGAATTTCAAGTTTGTGACTGACTTTGTTTTCTGTGTTCTGGGTTTTTTTTCCCTCTTCCTCAAGTGGGGAAGCTGAAGACTCTGGTTCCTGCCCCCCTCCCGAGGAGCTCCCCCCCCACGCCCCGCAATGCAGATTGCAGCGAGCGCCCAGTGTTTCTCTAAGGGGAACTAATTAGCTGGAACAGTTGTGGCAGGTGCCTTGAGTCTCACAAGAGCAGCCCAGATCCCGGTGTGGGGAGCCAGACCCCACTGGAGCTCGTTCCCCACGGTCCCAGTAGCCACTCACGGGAGGGAGCGATGGGGTGAATGGACCCCGATGCCCAGCACATCACTGTTGGTCACCGCCACCCTGGCCAAAAGCCTGGATCCAGCTCCTTGTACCATGTTTGTCCAGGCCGTGCCCTGCTGCCAGGGCATGGCTGAGGTGCCCCGGTGCCATGTGGGGGCTGTGCCCAGGTCTCCTGCAGTGCAGGGGGGTCAGCAGGACCCTCCCCAGCTGGGGTGACACGGGGACAGCAGTGCTCTGCCTGCAGTCATTCACCGCCCAGCAAAGCCCCATCGGTTCCTGCTGCTCCCCACGGCTCAGCCCGGCACCGTGATGCCCAACGGGCTCCCTGCAGCCACCATGCTGTGGGGCTGGCCCCCAGGGCTGCCAGCAGGGTGGCAATTTGCTGGTCACAATCAGTGGGTGATTTGTTTTCTGCCAGGCGTTTGAGCAGCTGCAGCACTCAGGGAGGAGGGGAAACAGCTGCGCAGAGGGGCTGCAATGCCAGAGCCACCCCGGCGCTGTCGAGGGTCCCCATGGCTTGGTGGAGCCCAGAGGCTTGAATGGAAGTAGGTGGGCACCACAATGCCCATGAAGAGGCAGGGGATGGGGCTGCCCATCTCCCTGGGGACACTGGGACCCCCCCACAGCTGCAGGCTGGGGGCCACACTCAGCTCCAGCTGTAACTGCCCCCCTGGTGCTCCCAGCCGGGCTGTCACTGCTCTCTTGCCCGGAGCATCTCCAGAGCCCCCAGTGCGACATCCAGCCCCCCCCCCAGCCCTTCCCCAGCTTTTTGGGGTCTGACC